ATATATATTTTCTCCCCTCTTTTGTTCACTGGATTTTCTGTTCAGCACTTTGAAATCATAAACTAGTTCTGATTATTCTGACCCACTGCGTCTTGTGTTTTGATTCCTTTTCAACTTCTTATCAAATAGAAAATAATTCAACTATTTGCATTTCCTCCAACACACCCATGTGCCTGTTTCCGTTATCATAGACACAAGCTAATGTGTAATTATGTCCTGGGAAGGATAAATAATTTTCAACATTTATTACAAATAAAGGTCTAAAAATTGTTGGACATAGTTGTAATCAGTGTCTCTGATACAATAAAGCTTTCTGCAGTTAAGTTTTAATCTCGGACAAGTTTAAGTTTCTGGGCAAATGGAATAATGCTGGCACCTCTGTGTTTCATCATTTGTATGCCGATTCAGTTATGTGAAGTGTATGTTTTCTATTGCTTGTAGAGATTTGCAGGTTTGACAATAGGTTTGGCTCTGACCAGAGCTTCTCTATTACATGTGGTGGACTTTAAAAGGGACTTCTTAAAACTTCTCTGCAATATCAGCTTTTTTTCTCACCACTTTCCACTGAGAGCAGACTTTAGACAGATTGGTAATCTGGTCAACAGATTCATAAACTGTACATCTCTGGGTCTCTTCCAATAGGTCTCTTCTCTGGTTTAATCCTCTCCACGCCCAGCCTTGGAGATCAAAGACCTTTTGGTTAAGGTTGGGGGATTATTAATTAGGAAAAAGGGATACGCATGAACTTATTTATCAAACACTTTTAAGACAGGTCAAAGTGCCGTACAAAAAATAATAATATTACCTATATATCAGTACATCTATAGAATTCAAAGATATTTTGAAAGATGATTTTGAGTCACTGTTGAAGAAGCTTGTGTAGATTTTAAAAATTTGAAATGCCTGCTTCATCATGATAACCGCTAAAAATAAGAACCAAGATCTCGTAGCAGTTATTGTTCCCTGGTTTCAATAATGCTGTTGATTAACGGATGTTCTTTAACAAACCTTTCAGACTCTGAGATTTATAGCTGTATTTATACCAAGATTAAATTCTACTCTGATTGCAACAGATATTCATTCATGGGTAGAGGGATGGAGGAGAAGCAAAAATGCACCCCACATTCTTTGCATTTTTAATGTTTAAAGAAAAGTAAAACATAGTGTATTTTTCTATTTATTTCACAGTTTCACATTATTTTATTTGTTTGTTTGCTAAAAAAGAGAGAGTTTCACTTTGGCAAAACACTGTATGTTTATGTGCGTCTCCTGTCGCAGACAAAATCCTCTTGACAGTTAAAAGGCCTCGCCTTTCCCCCCAAGGGGCTCTTGGGCTCTCACAGAGAGTAGAGCGGGGATTAGGAGAGGGAAGAGTGGAAGGAAGAGTGAGGAGAGGAGAGCTTTATGTTAGCATGAGGTCCAGATCAGCCTCTAGCCTCGTTAAACAACATCGATCGGCACTGTGACATTTCACAGCACATGCCGTCTATACTGTCACTGCCATCACTCACTGGCAGCACCAGGAGCACCTACACAGAATCAACCATGCTCTCTCTTTCTCTTTCTCACTCAAACAGCTCGTAGATGGATAACAGCTGGTGGGGAAATAGTGAACAGATCTATCAGTATGAGTGTGTCTGAGCTAGAGTGGGTAAAAAGGAAATGCATTAGGCTTCAAATTGAAGAGCCCTATCTGTTGGTGCAAAACATACAACAAATTATGTAAAATTAAACCATACTAGTAATCCTTTTTGTAGGTTATGTAGAAATACTGGGAAGGTTTTATATTTATTCTGAATTTCATCGTCTTTGCACTTTAAAAATCCTCCAAATCTCCCCCCCCCAAAAAAAGCAATAAGACCAAAACAATTTCTGCATTATCTTGTTAAATTATTCTTGTGGAAAAAGGACTGACAATGTTCTTCGGTTTGGGATTATATTGCTAAAGTTTACGGCAGAATCAGATGACATGAAGCACAAAATTCCCCCTGAAATTGGCCTGATGCACACACACGTACACACAGAGCGTAAGCCGTCAGTCTTCCAGCCGATCGATCCGTGCTGACAGGTAGCAGATACCTAGAGCCCTAATTAGAGCTCCTATCAAAGATACATAATAATTATGCATACAAACACACATTCAGAGCAGGATCTCTAATTCTGTATCCATAATTTGTAATATTATCCTTGGAATAAAACCATCCTGATATCAAATGCAGCTTTTATTGCTTTATAAAGAAAAATGATATGTCACAGACTGAATAAAGACTTACAGTGTATGATCAAATGTTGGCACTTCTGGTAGAGATGTGTAAAAAGTCCTACAAGACATATTTCTTAATACAGTAGGACAGTCGTTGCTTCTTAACATGGGAATTTCCCAATAAATAAACAAGTTCAAACTAAAGGTTGGGTTTTTCACAAATGGTTAGATTATGTTACTATAACATTAACCCAAAGCTTTTTGCACCTTCTATACAAAGTACTAAAATGTCTAGATGTGAGAGGAAGAGTAAAGAGATAAACGTCAAGAGTACATCAGCAACATTAGAAAAAAAGAAAATATATGTGAAATAGATAATCCATTTATAGATCTAGGTCACAGAGGAGATACCCAAAATTCAATAATCAAAAATTAAAAAATAAAATAATGTTTAAGTTTTTTTCTTTTAATCTGAAGTTTTATGAATGGGGAAAAGCTTGAATTAAATCTCCATCATAAACATCCCAGAGCAGATTTTATTGCACACATATAGTACAAACATGTAAGGCTGTGTGTTGGGAAAACAATTTTATCTGAAATCACATGCAGATATAAACAACTAGCGTAATCAACCAACACAGCAAATTTCATACACAAGACAGACGGCACGGAAAGATTAACACCAGATAAAACTGGAGGGAATAAAAATTAAAGAAGGACCAAAACACATTAAAAATGTGATATCAACATCCCTAAACATAAAGATACCTAGACATTTAAAAAAGATCTAAATACCTAATATGCACTAAAATCTAAATTCAATGCAAGCATCTGACATAAGAGAGCATTGATTATGATAATGAAACAGAACAAAGATGCAAAGAGAAATATTTGAAATTAGAGTGAAAGAAAATCGTGAGCCTCAAATTAAAACAATTTTTAAAGCATACAAACTTCTCATCTACAGACTGAGATTATGCGAGCTCCATTTTTAGTCTTTAACAGCATTCATCCAGCTGAATACTTTGACTGTAAAGGAGCTAAGTTCTTTCAGAACCAATATGTTTCTCACTTGCTGGACCAAGTGAGAAACATATTGGACACTACTGATTCAGGTCCCTGGTGCTGCAGGCTCACTTAGACATAGGAGCACCTGCGTATTAAGTATGCCTCTCTAATTTCATTAGTAACACCTGCGTTTCCCCTACGACGACATGTCAATGCCTTTGCTGTGAAAAAGGCCTGCACCCTCTAAGGGTGTGCTAATAACACCTTTCCATAAAAACAGAGAGATTCAGGAGGTACAAAGTGAGCAGAACTCCCTGCTGGCTTTCTCTCCTGCTGATGAACCTCCCAGATTAGCCTAAAGCAAACTACACCTGAGTCCCTTGGAGCCTAATGCACTCCCACACCCATATTAGTATAATCGATTAATCCCGAATAATCAAATTATTGTTTTACATACATATATATATATATATATATATATATATATATATATATATATATATATATATATATATATATATATAGATTGATTATTAATGGAGTGTAGAAAATGGAAAAGTGTGGAAAAGTGTGGAAAAGTTTTATTTTCACTTGCTTTAATTTAGTTACAAATCTTCTTTAAGGAACCTTTGGCTATCCGATTATTAATGGATTAATCAGAAAAAAAATCGACAGATTAATCAATTTGCAAAATAAACGTTAGTTGCAGCCCTAATATATATATGTGTAAATATTTATTTATTTATCTACATACATAGAAGAACTGTAAAGGGAAGTGAAACGCTATAAAGCATGTATTGCAAATTAAATCTGAAAAGTAAAGGCACCCGTTCAGATTTAACCTAAATTGCAGGGAATTTTAGATCAGAATGGAGGTAAATCTAACAAATTAGAAAGTCTCAGAAATCTAATCTCATTTATACTTTTTGTAAGCTGCAGATCCCACTGAGGTAGGAGAATCCATTAAGAGGTTTTCACAAGAGAAAGCCATCAGAACTGTTATTTAAAATATAACAGGCCATGTAGGGGACAAATTAAGTATGAAAGGAGGTGCTCAGATGACAGCAAAATTTGTTGGTTTGCTTAATAAATCCTATGTCTTTTGGAAAACAGCTGTGCAGACTATCCTGAATATACCTTGTTGGTGGCAGCATCATGCTATGGGGAATTTTTGTAATAATAAGAAAAGATCAGCTGGTCACAGTTAACTAAATTCTAGATGGAGCTAAAAGTTGGAAAATCCTGGAAGAGAACCGCCAATACTTCAAATAAAACCGGAGGAGGTCCTGTTCAAAGTAAGCCGACACAGTAAACGTAGCCTGGACAAAGGCACAGTTAATCTTATCCCAATATGTCAAATTTGATGTGAAGGCCCTTGAATCAGTTAGATAGAATTTTAATTAATCTTTCTGTATAATTTGATTAAACTGTGTTTTTAATGTGTCTAGAGATGATATGCCTTGTAAATTAAATTAATATTCAAACCCATGGTGTAACAGACCATAATGAAAATAAGAATGAACACAAAAGGTAATTCACTAGGAGCAGTGGGTAGCACTGCTGCCTTTCAGCAAGAAGGTTCTGGGTTTCGATTCTTTCTGCATGGAGTTAGCATGATCTCCCTGAGCATGCGCGGGTTCTCTCCGGGTACTCCGGCTTCC